GGGACAAAATGTCGTGATGCGGCAATCTTAATATGCCGCGTCACGGTGGTCACGTGCTTTTTAATTTTTTTTATCCTTGACCTATTTTTATCCGGATTTTTATTATTTCTCCTTCACCGTTTATCTTCCAATCTCGTTTTTTTTGAGAGTTTTATTCCTAATAAAATTCTCCCTTTATTTTTATTTTTTATTTTCTTTTTCTTTTGGGGAATTTGTAAAACTAGTGTTATTTTTTATTTGTATATTTACTTTCTTTTGAGGAAGTTGTAAAACTTGTCCCATTTTTAATATTGATTTTTCTTGTGGGGAAATGGTAAAACTTGTCCCATTTTTTATTTGTATATTTATTTTATTTTGGGGAAGTTGTAAAACTAATCTCATTTTTAAATTTTTTTTCTTTTGGGGAAGGTCGGTACCCTCCACTTAGGAAAAATAACGATTTTTTTTCGCATCATACACAATCACACACAATTAGTCTCAAGCACACACTAACATGCACACTGATTAAGCAAATAATGTCAAATACATAAAGTGTGAATAAAATATACAAAGTAAGTCATGGTACATAAATGATGTCAAGTGTAATAAACCAAGTACATAATAAAAACCCTCGGTCGATACTACTCAGATCCAGAGCTAGGATCAGTGTCATCATTAGGCCGCGAGTAAGGGAATGACGGACCAAAAAGACCCTCCATCATCCGAGTGCCAGGAGTAGTGTCCCTATTACTAGTACCCACATCTCCAGCAGAAGGTATATTCAAAGCAGGTCCTGTCCAGGCTGGTAAATTGCGTAGACTAACTCCAAGATGTAGGAAGCGTCGATGGAGGCAACGTCCCAGACAATGGAACTGAAAATAAACCCTTGTCCGTAGGAGTGATGACCGGCCTAGACTCAGCCTGTTGGAATGGTTGAGAAGGCCGAGGCTGCTGCCACTGAGTCTCCTAAAATGGCTGAGAAGGTCGAGGCTACAACCACTGAGTCTCCTGAGACGACTGACAAAACGAAGACTGCGGCCACCGAGTTTGAATCCCCTAAAACGGATGAGAAGTCTGAGGCTGCTGTCGCTGTGTCCGAGAATGTCGATGAACCTTAGGGGATTTTCTACGGTGACTAGGCTCCCCTTCGTCTGAGCCTCTATGCCTCGAGCGCAAGCGAGACCTCCGTTGCCTCCGTTGCTCCTGAAAGACACAAAATGAAAAGATATCAATGATACAAGAAAAGGTAAACATGAGAAAAAGATGAATATATCTCATGAACATCGTCTGAGCCACTCTGACAACTCGCACCGCGTCGTAGCTTCATGACACAATGCTTGAAAGCATCAATCAACTTCATAAAGCCTATCATATCCGATTGCGTGACCTGAAACAAAAAAAAAACAATAACAAGCAGTATTAAGAAGATTAAAAGACACGTTAAAAAAATGCTTACCGACTCAAACTCATCGGGTAGGGATTCCTGCGCCTGTCTGAAACCCTCTTGTGCATTAGCAATATGCTCCTCAATCATGCCAATTGGTCCCGAGTAACGAACGGATTAAGGGGGGAGCTTGACCTTTCCTTAAAGATGATTAGTCGCCTAAAACATGATCGAATAATCAGGTTATTCGATGGTTTAAACAGGGACTAGCAAATTTAAACTCTAAAAGAAAAGAAAACCTCGGGAAGACGTCGCGGAGGGGCCTAGTAAGGAAGTAAGTTCTGGGAGTAATCGCTCTCCATACGCACGAACTCCTGCCAAGGAAATGTATAACGCTCCCCCTTATCTAGCAGCACTCCCAACAAGCGTGAGTCTAACATCGACTCAGGTGGAGGCAATGGCACAACAAAGTGATCAACGTTGCGCTGACGAATAACACGCTCTCCAAGGTACCAAACAAAGCGTGTTGTACTAAAGAAGATAGTACGGCACGCCGAAAGCTGCAAAGCCTTGGGAAGGTCGGTCATGCCAGCCCAAGGCCGATACTGGATCTTGACAGCGATCTGAAAACCATAAAAGATTGCAGTGAATGCCGAGAAATAACATCAAAGTAAAAAAAATACACTGTGAAATTGACCCTTACACCAACAATAGAGGTGCCCCGAAGCAGCAGCCCGCGCAAACTCGATACAGACTCCACTCGTGACTCGCCTCGGTCACGCCAGCAAGCTTCGACATGGAAATCATGGAGCGCTCCGCGATGTCGTCGAGGAACCTATCCCGAAAAGTACTCATAGAACCACAACTGCAACAAGAATGACCTCTAAGCATATGAGCTAAAGCGATAAAAGCAAAACAAGAAGAGGAAAAGATCGTCACCTCAACGACTCTCCACAAACCATAGACAACAATAGGGGCTTGGTTGTTCAGCTGCCTACAGCCATGATGCATCGACGAGAGTTGATCAGCATATTCAATACTAGCCCAACCGTAGGATCCTATCTCACCGATCCTGACCAGAGACTGTAGGTAGCAAAAAGCGCACGAGAACTTCTATCATGAGAAAGAGTCTCGAAAATAAGGATCAAGATAAAGATCCGTACTCGCTGTTCTGGTGTCGTCTTAGCTATGTCAAAACCATGGGCAAGAAAGGAAGCCAACTTTGATCGCCCAATCCTAGGACCACCTCGAGGCACCGGCCGAGTCCTGATAAGCTGAACGACAAGACCTAATAACTCCGCTACCTCACTCTTCCCCCAAGTGAGGTCAAGAATCTGCTGTACAGGTCGCTCGGTGAAGCGCAAGCCGCTGATCATGCTGAAATCCAGAGGAGTCACCGTCATCTTCCCCCAAGCAAAGTGAAAAGTGTTGGTAGTATCCCAAAAATACTCCAACAGCGCTCGAACAGCTGTCGAACCACAACCTCGGGGGCTGCGAATCCACAACCGTTGAATAGAAATCTCCCAAACCAGCAGACTCCCACAAGGCGTTGGTGACAGGATCCCCTGTGATGATCCCGTATAGCCGAGGAATCAAGTCCATCTACCCCTACTCGTAGAGGGGCGAGGCTCAATCTCCAAGGCATCGTCTATTCCCTCAGGAACTGTGGGAGTGTCCCCTCAGAAAGCCTGACACCGACCACAAGCAAAAATATCTCTATCTGTTTATTTAGGCATGTTATTATATTCAAATAAAATAAAAATCTAAATACTAAGTGTATAGGATAGCTCCCGCTGAACTATTGCCCAGTTCCCCAGGGTGCACACTCATGGCTAAGAGAACAACTGTGAGGGGCTCACCAGCCTGATGGAGTCAGCCCGCAGAGCTGACCAGGTCGAACTCTCCACAAAGGAGATCGTACACCTATAAATAGAGGGAAAGTACAATGGAAAGGATGTTAGACACATAAGTTATTACACTCTCTACATCTCTCTAAGTACACTTACTCTCTCTAAACGTTCTCTAACTTGGGCATCGGAGGGGGGTTTCTCAAGCCACCCTCGAGGGCAGTTTACGTGTGTTTCCTTGTGTAGGTTGTCAACGGGGCCCAGCTCATCCAGCAAAACCCTTGGATCCATACCTGGAACAATTGGCGCTAGAAGGAGGGGAAGGATCATCTAACTTGAGGTTCACCAACTAAGTTAGGGACTAGTTGACAAACCACCATGGCAGGGAGGAAGCTGGATAAACACCCATACCCAAGGCCAATGACGCCAACTAAACACCATAAAAAACACCACCAGCAACCATCGATCTCAAAGGATCCGCCGAGAAACCCAAATCCACCGTCTCACAAAAATCCAACCCAATTGGATCGACGTCTGTTGCAGCTAAAGCAACGTCAAAACTTGTCGATCTGGTAGGATCTAGTTTCATTTTCAAGTATGGTATACCATTGAAAGGCACGAACAATGAACCCATTGTTTCAAAAACAAATAGCCCAAAAACCGCAGCCCGTAAACATGCCAGCAATTTTGCAAAACCTCTCTAAGTGTATTAAGGAGTAGTTGGCAGTGATGACAACAGTCCTTGCTAAATTTGGTAAGGGAGCGAGCTTATCACCAGTAGCAGTAGCTACAGAACTAGCGGTGAAGAAGTAAACACCATCAACCCCCACTCCCGAGCAGAAGGAGCTCGTCCAGCTGAGGAAGAAGGTGTTGGAGTTGGAAGCTTGAAATCTAAATCGAGAATGAAGTGTGGAGGAAATAACCCAGGCTAAAGGCAGCCCGAAGAGACGAATCGCTCGCAGCAGGTCACCAGCCTCTAAGCAAGGACCAAGCCTGGATAGGGAGAATCGAGCACGGATTCAGGTTATTCCAGATGATTCCCCATTTTACCGGGAGATTCTGGAGGAACCAATGGAGAAGATAAAGATGCCAAGCTGTAGGTACAACGGAACTACAACACCTAAGAATCATATCTCGGCTTTTCAGAACCACATGGTGCTCTACACCATGATGAACTCAGTCTGGTGCAAAGAATTCCCGCCAACTCTAGAGGGGCTGGCAGCGGAGTCGCATGGAGCCATTCCCAAGGGTTCTGTGTACTCATATAACCAACTGAAAAGGATGTTTATGGAGCATTTTATCACCTTGGTAGATCGAACTAAGATGAAAACTGAATTAATGTCACTTGTTTAGGGGAAAGATGAGCTCCTGAGGGAGTTTATCACTAGATTCAACAGGGAGGCAACAACCATCCCAAACATGAGCCAGGAGGTAGCGTTGCTGGCAATGCAGAGCTGTTTGCTACTAGGCTCACCATTCAGAGCGTATATGGGGTGTAAAGCCTCAAGACATTAGCTGAAGCGCTAGGTAAAGCGCACGAGTTCATCAAGGCAGACGAGACCGACAGAGCAATGCTGAGCAGGAAGGCACCAAACGACCCAGTTAAGCGGGCAGAAGTGACCCGAGCTGAAAACACGGCCAGGGTTGACTAACCCAGCAAAGCTGAGCAAGGTCGCAAGGAGGCAGATCGTGCTGTTGGGGTGAGAAGGGTAGACCCAAAGAGGGGAGGAATACCTGGAAGGTTCGACCATTACAACCCGCTCACTCACTCGAGATCCTACATTTTCAGCATGAACAAAGCTGATGACAAGTGGAAAAGACCTCCAAGGATGGTTAATAGGAACCGTGACCCCAGCAAGTGGTGTGACTTTCATAAGGACCACAGCCACACAACTGATGAATGCAAACACATGAAAGACAACATAGAAGACCTAGTCAAAAGAGGGTATCTGAACCAGTTCAAACAGCAGGCTGATCCCCCAAAAAGAAGAGAAGAGGATAGAGTAGCCCGTGACTACAGAGGAGGTCACAGTGGTCCTGCTGAGGATAAAGACAGAGACAGCAAGCCAGAAGGCAGGGTGTATGTGATCGGCGGAGGACCGATGCATTGGGGAACAATGAACAAGGCCCGGGCAGACCTGCGGGCAATGATACATCAGATAAACCATAATGAGAAGCGCAGGTGGCCACCTCTTCCCCCGCAGCCGCGAGCTACATTTGATGATAATGACCCAAAGGGCATAATCTATCCTCATGATGATCCTCTGGTAGTAACGATGAGAATTGCAAACTAGGAGGTAGACCGAATATTAATAGATGAGGGGAGCTCAGATAACATCATATATATAACCCTAGGTGAGACTAGGTCGTTGAAAACTAATCTACCCTTGGACAAAACAAAATTTATAAACTCTCGACACACCTTCATACAAGTATAACGGCAAGTCAAGGATCAAACCTAAGGGAATGGGAGCTAACTACTATGGTCTAAGTCAAGCTATCTCGAAGTCAAAGGGGGTAGGTGTGTGTGTAATCTAAGCAACTAAGCAAAACAAACAATCAAATTGAAATCAAACTTATCAAGTACTAGGGTATGGATCCACATAGACTCGTAAATGATTCAACTAATTGGGATTGGAGATGACTAAGTCGAATGATGCGAGGGAAGGTCAATTATGCAATCAAGAGAGAGTGATAGGCTAATTTCCTAAAGGTCAAACTAGCGCCAACTACAAAAGACACTAACTAGGAACCTCACAAATCCCCTCAATCAACAAATGTAAGCAATAAATCAATTTTCCGTATCAATGAGAACCTACAATGCAATCTAGTGTGAGAAACTAGGTTGATCACTCCTAAATTAAACATACACATGCACATAATCAATCAACAATTTAATCACAACATCAACTCCATCAATTCCCCCCAATTAGCATCAATGAATTACTCATATATGCTTTACCAATTCCCTAGCAAGAAAACTACTCAATATTCATTGAAATTAAGATCAAAACTAAACTAATCAACAATTTCATCATCATTATATCAAATAAACCAATTAAAACACAAATTCAATTCAAACTTGAACAATCAACAAAGCAATTGAAATCAAAACTAAGATTGCATTAAAATAAAGAAATCCTTACAAACTTGCTTCAATTGAATCAATTCAATAGAGAAAACACTTGGAATCATCCACCTTCAATCATCAATTAAAAACTTCTCTCTCTACAAACTAGAGTTTCTCTCTCTAAAAACCTAACCTAATTTTAATCTAATTCTGGAATAATTCCTCTCTAATAATAGAAAGAAAATCTATATATAGTAAAAGTAACTAAGAGAAGTTAGTTAGATCGTCCCCGAATAAACCCATACAGGCGCGGCTTACCATAAGGGGAGCGCGGCCGCGCAAGGTACGGAACAGGGACCTAGGTAGGCGCGCCCGCACCAGAAGGAGGCGCGCTCGCGCCACCAGGTTGCGCGTCCGCGCCTGGGAGCAGGGGAGCCCTCTTCCCTATCATTCCAATACTCCTCGTGCGCTCCACTTAATGCTCTTGATAAACACAGAACCTTGAAGTTTCTAAACTCCATGTTTGTGGGTTCAAGACTAAAAATCATGCCCCCACAGCTTAAATGCACAGCTCAAGGTCTTTAGGAACTTGCACTTCTCCATGCTTGAGCTTCAAATGGAGATCACTAAGCATCCTAATCAATGCCAAACTCGGGAAGAGGCTCGGGAAACATTGGAAAACGATCTTAACCTGAAAAACAAAGGAAAACAAGCAAATAAAAGAGAAAATAACAAAATAAACCAAGAAATGCATAAAGGAAGAAATCAAACTAAGAATAAGCAAACTAATAGAAATAAAGTGTAAAATCAATGAAAAACTGAGTAAAAGAGATACAGAATAGCATGAAATTCATCCTAAAGAACCTAACGAGTGCCATAAATGACACTCATCAATATATCAGCACGTTCAAGAGCTGAAGTTAGACAGAAAGGACCTAAAAAGGGTGAGTTATGAAGTCACCGGGTTTAACGGATCTGGATTGACGTCGGAAGGTATAATCGAGCTCGTAGTCCGAGTAGGAGAAAGGTCGAAAAGACGCGATATTCGAGCAGAGTTCCTTGTGATAGACTCTCCTTCAGCTTACAATGTGATCTTGGGGAGGCCACTCATCCACAAGATTGGCAGAGTGGTTTCCACCTATCATCTTGCCATGACTTACACAACCAATGAAGGGCGGTCAGCAAAGCTCAGGGGAAGCCAGAAAACAACTCAACAATGTTACATAACTGCCCTAAAGCAGCTCGCCAGGACCAGACAACAGCCACTCTTAGTGCAAAGATTCGTTGAGCAGGTTCAGAAAAAGTCAAGAAAAAGAAAGCGCGAAGAATATCACAGGGAGAAGGATAAACAAAAGTTGTCCATTGAAAATTTTGAGCCCGGAAAGGAGGAGATGGATAGACCGCTTCCTAGCGGGAGCATGTTAAAGTTGAGCTCAAAGAAGATGATCCTTCAAGAACAGTAAAAATCAAAAAGGACATTGATCCTAGAGTGGGGGTGCACCTCATAGAATTGCTGAGAAGGAATAAGGACATCTTCGTATTTTCAGCAGATGAGATGCCCAGAATTGACCCCGCGGTCATGGTCCACAGGCTGAACGTGAAGGAATATGTTAAACCAGTAAGGCAGAAGAAACGAAGCTTCTCTGCGTAGATAAATTAGGCAATCCAGGAAGAAGTGGAAAAACTTCTAGAAGCTGGATTCATTGAGCCCTGCGATTACCTGGAGTGGCTAGCCAACGTGGTCATGGTGAAGAAAGCAAATGGCTAGTGGAGGATGTGCGTTGATTTCACAGATCTCAACAAAGCATGCCCAAAATATTGTTACCTACTGCCGCGAATCGATCAGCTGGTAGATAAAGCTTCATGGATGCCTTCTCAAGATACCATCAAATCAGTTTGCATAACCCAGACCAGCAGAAAACCGCATTCATCACCGAGGGGGAGTGTACAATTACATAGCTATTCCCTTTGGGTTGAAGAATGTTGGAGCTACTTTTCAAAAGACAATGTATAGAGTGTTCATGCACCAGAAAGGTAGGAATGTTGCGGTATACGTGGACGACTCAATTATTAAGAGCGTCACGCAAGCATGGCATATCATGGATCTGGAGGAAACATTTGCCACCCTAAACAAGTATAACATCAAACTTAACCCGAAGAAATGTGTCTTTGGGGTAAGCTCGGGAAAGTTCCTAGGCTTCCTAATCAACGAGAGAGGGATAGATACAAATTCGGAGAAGGTTGAAGTAGTCTTGAGCTTGCCCGAGCCTAAGTGCATCAAGGACATCATGTGGTTGACAGGCAGAATGGCCGCACTGACTAGGTTCACTAGCAAGTCAGCCGGCAAAGCTTTGGCAGGCCTGCGTATGAGCATCGCAGCCGGGGCAAAGAAAGTCCATCTGCAGACTGACTCCCAGCTTGTAGCCAGTCAACTGAAGGGGGATTATGAGATTAGGGCCGGGAATCCACAATGCTGAAGTATGTAACCAAGGTAAAGGAGCTAGCTGCTCAGCTAGTCCACTCCCAAATAGATTTTGTCCCGAGAGCGGGAAACTCCCAAGCTGACGCGTTATCAAAGTTAGCTAGTTCCACCTTGCAGAGCCTCACAAGGACGGTGATGGTGGAAGTCCTGGAGAAAAGCAGTATCGCTGAAAAGGAGCAGGCGAATTGCATCGGGCAGCAACAAGCTTGGTTCACAAACATAATGGCATACAAAATTCATGGCTCACTGCCAGACGATGAAGTGCAAGCTAAGAAAGTGAATAAAGACGCTAGCTGGTACGTGGTGATGAACGGGGAGCTCAACAAGAAGGGCTTCTCAAAACCTATACTAAGGTGTATCTCAGAGTGGGAGCAAGAGAAAATCATGGAAGAGGCACACTCAGGAATATGTTCCAACCACATCGGTGGAAAGGCACTGGGAGTAGAAGTTCTCAGAAGGGGTGCATACTGGCCAACTCTGACGCAAGATGCACTGGCATATGTGAAAAAGTGTGACAAGTGCCAAAAGTATTCCCTAGTCATAAACCAGCCAGCAAATGATCTGACCGCAATCCTTAGTCTGATCCCGTTTGCTCAGTGGAGAATCACTACTAGAAATAGGCCTATCTCCGACAGACTGGTTCCGAGGGATATGTAATTCCGCCGGAAAACTCAGAAATTTTGACGGATTTTTTTTCCGTCGGAATATATGGGCTTTCCGACGGAATATTCGGTCGGAAATTACATTTTTCGATGGAATACAAATCCGTCGAAAAGTCGGAAAGTTCCGTCGAAACATATTTAAAAAAAAAACAACCTCCTGAAAAACTAAAAACCCTAAATCCCCCACTTCACTTTTCCGCCCCTAATATCTCTTTTCCCCTTCTCCTTCTATATCTTCTTTCATTCTCTCGGTCCTCTTCTCTCTCCTCTTTCCTTTCACCTTCTCGTTCCTCTTCTAATTCCTCTTCTTTCTCCCCTTTTACCACCGCCCCCTTCTCCTTCTATCTCCCTTTCGATCTCCTTCCGTCTCCCTTTCGATCTCCTTCTCTGTCCCCCTTCTTCATTTTCGTTCATCTTCTCTCATCTCTTTCACCCACCTTACTACCACCGTTCCGCCGCAACAACACCAACAACATCGATATCAACTAAAACGGCCACCCTAGAAATTCCTTTATTTTAAAATACCTGTTTTGCCCTGTATAAAACTTAGTATAGGAATATCTAAGACATTACCGCCACCGTGAAAACGGTTAAGGCAAATATCAAAGATACACAGCGGAAGACTAATTTTAAAAAACTTTCCAAAACAAACTAACTTGAAAAGCTAACCAAACGAAAGTAAAGTTAAAACCAAAATGAGCAAAGTAAAATGAAAATCAACCTACAACTTGGAACCATTAAAGGCCCTTATTAAAAACCAAACCAAATCCAAACTTGATGTTAGCTTCACATATAAATATTAGCATAAATAATTAAAGTAGAAACACATTGTAACTAATATAAACTAGCATGATTCGCTCTTCACTCGTGCCCCATCATGAATATGCCTCAATACCTGAAAAGCTTATCTCTACTTGTCTCCACTACTCTCCATTAAAAATAGGTCATCATAGGGCCAAGATAAAGACATGGCCAAAACACACAAACACACACAATCAACAAAGCTGAGTACATACGCGTAATTAAACACACTAACATGCCTTCACCTATCAACACACACTTACCTCATTGCACATGTTCACAAGCACACACACCAATCAACAAGACACAATGACTAGACACTAATTGATTCATTTTGCATTGATTACGCATCGAACGGGTTTCCACCTCCTAACCTCCCCCAAATAAATTTGAGGTTAACTGACACGAGAGCTAACCGTGCCAGCGACAAAACCACTCAAAGGTGGCAAAATTCCTGCGCATAACAATAAATAAAAAAAAGGAATATACAACGTCCTGTATTCCATTAGAAGTTATGGTTAAATATAAAACCCCATAACTCCCCCCATTGTTCATACTCAAGGTATATACGTTCCAAGAGTTTTGGTGCGTAATCTCTTTCACTTTACGTTATTTACATATTATTAGACTTGGTGATGACTCTCAAAGCATAATAAGTCAATCAACAATAATTATTCAATCAGACAAACATACCAATTTAATTCTTGAATAATTAGTGACCACATATTATTTAATGTTGAACCCTTTTTAATTCTACCTCAGTGTCAAAGACACCTTAAACGCATAATGCGCCAAAAATCTTATCCCTCGGTATTAAAAACACCTTAAGTCCACAAAGGCACCACATACAATTTATTCCTTGTGTACATAGACACTTATATAGCTCCTTCCTCATGCTTAAAGCATCAATAAAAATTATTTGAACCATAATAAAATTCCTTTTCAATATTCCAAACATAATTAAACATGTAGTTTAATTAATCATGCCTTCTAACATGTCATAGATAAAAATGTGGTTCAAACACAACATGCCAAAAATATAATATTTTAATCTATAAACCATCACAAATAATTCATGCTTCACAATTCAATCACCAACGTCATTAATTCACAATTCCATACATAAACCTTAGCATGATACTACTTGTAATTGATTGAAATCAAGCCTAGCATGATTCGACATCATCAAAATATGCTAAGTACGCGAACGTACCTCAAATAAGCTCTTAAAATAACCGAGTGCTCTACAACAGTTCTCGAACCAAGTTTCCTACATAAAGGGACAATAATACTATATTAATTACCTTAGTATACACAAATTTTCAGCAATTTTTAAACATTTTAAAACCTCACTAACAAGCTGAAATTTTGGTTAAAGACCTTTAAAACTCTCTCTTTAAGAGGGTAATTAAAACCACAAAGTGAAAACTCAATTATAGTGTTCATATAAAAATTCCAGCATACTTTTTAAGGCTTAAACCCCTTAAATAAATCTGAAAATTATGTTAAAACCACTTAAAATATTCTCTACTTATGGGTTATCAACTCCTTTTAACTAATACACAAAAGTAGTATGTAAATAAAAATTCCAGCATTATTCTATAAACAAAAACCCATTAAAATTTCATTATAACTTCATAAAGATACAATCTTTAAGCTTTATTACCACTTACAATCAATGGGTATATAAAACCCCCAAATTGATTGTAAGTTAGAACCCTAAAAATCAAAACTTTACTAATTTCAAAACCCTAACTTTAATACCTTATAAAATCATAATCTAAAACAATACAAAATCTGAAATTTATACTCTTTAATCATCAAAAACACAATTTTAAAACATACTAATCATAATTTAACCATCAAGAATCAATACCCAAAAATATATTATAGGAATAATTATTAAAACAAAATAAAAGAGGAGAGAGAAGGGAAGAACCACCGTGGGTGGTAGCCGGCCAGCTGGGCGGTTGTTGCCGGCGGCGGCGGCGTGGCATGGTGGCAGACCGGCGGTGGGGTTGGCGGCAGCAGTGGCAGCCGGTGTTGTTGGGAGTGGTAGCAAATTCCCACGTGAAAGAACAAGCAAAAGAAAGGAAAAAAAATAAGTAAAGAAGGAAGAAAAATGGAAAAGGAAAAAGAATAAGAAAAGGGAAATAAGAGGAGAAATAATTATCTTGACCAATTGACTTTTTGTGTGGGAAATTTTAGGGATAAATGGAGTATTTATATTGTAGAGTAGGTTAGGGTAGGTTTGAGCTTCATAAAAATTATGGACTTAAATGATGAAGTAAGTGGCCCAAAAGTAAAAATAAGATGATTGGGTTCAATAAAGATGGGCTACATTTGGATTAAATACTTATTGACCCAAATATAAATACTTGCTTTATTTATAATTCAATAATTAAAATAGTTTGACCCAAAATATATTTTATAATTAAATAAATAATTTATAAAATACATTAAAAATACGGGGTATTACAGTCTACCCCCCTTAAAAGAAGTTTCATCCCCGAAACTT